CGTAGCTGTCGCATTTCGCCCACAAAATATACAGCTAATTTACTTTGCAGCGCTCTGAGATGTCTCGAAGACATGATAAGGCGCTGCATCAAATGTAAAGGTTACTATTAAATATTTGGGTAATTTCTGTGCCTTTCAAGGTGTGTAGTGTTGGTTAGTTGCGGGAAATCAAGCGTATTGTACTTTTTTGCAAGTGGTTCTGTCTAGAGCTCTCCCATATAATGTATCTTACTCCGAGCTGGAGAAGGGCACAACTGACCATGCCAGTGTGACATTTTCATTTCTTATACCGACCGTTACGTGGCCTCTCTGAATGAGACTGCAATATTAGGTGTCTTTATCATGCTATGGTTTTACACATAGATCTACAGATTCAGCAGAAGGCCACTTGAACAATTGTTTTAGTGTTGATGTTTGCTCCTCCACTGAAACTATCTATTCTAATCCCAATTCCTGCTCTTTCCCCTGTACATGGAGTCTTGTAGCTCAGTGGTTAGAGCACTCAACCCACAAGTGAGAGATCTGGGCTCTATTCCCGGCAGGGCGAAATGTTAGGCAAGTTTCCTTACCCCACACGCCTTTGTTTACCTCGTAGTAATTAGGAACCTGGTTGTTAGTCAATTGACAGATCGCTTTTCCAGGATAATAATCCCTCAAAAAGAGCAATAATAATTTGGTCACTCAATCCATGACTGTTTGTGGGACCCTGCAGTGCGTAATTCACGTTTTACCCGCAAACATACAGTCAATTCACTTTACAGTATATTCTGCGAAGCGCTTTGAGACGCCTAGAAGATGTGAAAAGCGCTATATCAAATGCAAGGATCATTATTATTATTATTATTATTACCCTCTAATCCCTTTCCTCTGCATAGGCTTATTAATACCATTTTCAAATACCGAATAAACTACGCTTCAACAAACAACCCTGGCAAATCATTCCACATTCTGGCGACCTCTGAGAGAAAAACATAGTTTTAACTTTCTCTTTTACACTCCTATAGTCTTAAATTCATACCCTCTTGATGTAAGAGCTACTGCCGACAAATACATGGTATTAGGTTGATCTACCGCTGGTCAAATTCATCTCCGATAAGACTGTTGCAGTTAAGCAAGACTAAGGCCCTCCTGATTGGCTCATGCCAGAGCCTCTGCACCTCAGGCACTGGCAGCAACAGCATCCACGGATGCATACTCCACCTCACCAAGCCATACAGGAGCCTGGGCGTCTTGTTCGACCCTCATCTGAGCTTTCATCCTCCATATCCGTACCAAAACCCGTTCTGCCTTCCCCCACCTCCACAACATTGCCCGACTCTAGCACTGCCTCACCCCTCAGGCTGCCGAAACTCTCATACACGCATTTGTCACTTCAAGGCTCGACTGTGGAAACTCCTCCTCGTCGGCCTCCCCAACTCTTCCCTCCACAAGCTACAGATCATCCAAAACTCTGCAGCTCGTGTCCTCTCCCGCACCAGGCTCCATGACCCCATCACCCCCACCCTCACCCGACTCCACTGGCTCCCCATCCCTCAGAGGATAGAATTCAAAATCCTCGTCTTCACTTTCAAGGACTTCCACAGCGTTGTTCCCTCCTAGCTCTCTGACCTGCTGAACCCTTATCAACGTTTCTGCTCCCTCTGTTCAGCAGGCTCCGGCCTGCTCCATGTGTCCTGCCCGACCTGCCCTACCATCAGGTGCCGGGCTTTTAGCCTCTCCTCCCTACCCTTTGGAACTACATCCCACAATCCCTTTGTCTTACTCCCTCCGTTGCCTCCTTCAAGGCACTACTCAAGACCCTCCTTTTCGACCGTGCCTTCAGCCACCCTTCTACCTCTCTGCCCTCCCTCATCCCAACCCTGCCTCCCCCACACTCGGGTCCTGATAGGACTGTTCAGCACCTTGGAACGTCCTCCCGATGTAAAAGGCGCTTTACCAATGTAATTGTGTTGTTGTTAAAAGTGAGGAAATTCATCACATAAGTTCGAGATGGATTGTAACCTAATGCCAGATATTAAGAGGATAGGACACTCTCCAGCACCAAAAGTGAAGAGAGCACTTACCCTTTGATTGTATCCTTTGTTTGGTCTCTTCTGAACTACATACAATGATCCTCCTCCAGAACCTCTGCCAAAATTGCTTTGTAACTGATCTCCACGTCATACACAATAGTGTCTCAGGGTTGCCCTGAATCGAACCCTTTTGGGAAAAATGCAAACTCAAAACTGTATTCTATTTCTTGTGGTATAGAGAGTGAGAGACCAGATTCAAAGCGCTATTCTCCTAACTGCATTCTTTGTGTTTAAACAATCAAATAATGTACAAAAATAGTGTCTTTGTGGAAAAAATTCTCAATAGGCTCCAGGAACAATGTCATTCCACACAAGTCATTGAGCTCCAGTTAAGGTGTGTATGTGGCGAGGGGGAAGAAGTACAATTCTTTCATTACGTTCAGTACAAGCCATCAATTTTTCCAAGCTTTCAGCAGCATGGATGATAAGATGCCTTTAGCGATTTTTGCATTTTTAAAATAATCCACCAAGTACAGTATTATTCTGTTGTTGGCTGACTAAACCGTAAAACTAACAGTAAACTTCTACTCAGTCCTGAGGTGGGCAATATTAACACCGTGAGATGAAGCCATGCGACACTTAAAATGTTACTTAACCATCAATGATGGTTAAAATTACATGTTAATGTGAATCTTATGTTTCTTCCCCTCACCCGCCTTAAGCTTTACACCTTATCCTGGTCTATGTATTCATAGTTATCTCTCCAGGACATCAGTGTGAATTGCATTGCTCTGAAATACAACTGTGCGTGTAGGGAGTTCTATAAATACAACTTGTTGTTGAACGTTTCAGACCTGTTCAGGCGCAGTGGATTTCAAGTTACCAATGGGGAGTTTGGCATAGATCACTACAGCTCGCAGAATACATGGTCCTTAAAAGGTCGCTGTCCTTGCATTGGAGGGAATTTTCAGCCACATTGGCTACTCTGCAAAATCTTTCCAACTTGCCTGCGAGTCAATTTGTCCAAGGTGTGAAATTTATTTTGAAGCAGATGCACAACAAATGTTCCTGATTCTTTTTTTCTGTGCAAAAAAAAGACTCAGGAGCATTCACAGTGCTGAGGCGACAATCTCGTGATGGTATCAGCCACGTCAGTGAACACTTGTGTATTTACAAACATTATAAATTGAGACTTGGCCAGAGTAGTTTGGCTGTCTGGGATCTCACTCAGAGTTGCATAGACCTTGACAGATCCATTAAACAGCGATATTGTTAATGCTTAACATCCCTGCACAGTGACAACATGACGCTGTGTGATTTTTGGCTGCATGATATCATCTGCTCAAACATATGCACTGTATTCAATTAGCTTATCTAGCTGAGCAGTGTTAATCTTTCAGATCACTGTAATGCAAGAGTCATTTCTGACACTTGGAGCTATGTTCCCAGTTTATCAAAGTGTAGTGTGAAAAATGGTGTTCATTTTACACATTACAGTGCATTCGGCTTTTACCGAGTCTACATCATTCCTTGCAAAGTTCAGGGTAGACTTTAGATAATACTGAGAGGGCACGGAATCGCCCACTAATAATACTTAAATAGCAACATAAGATTGTGCAGGACTGGGAATGATCCTCTGACTGGCCCCAAAGTAAATTGTTTTAAAAAATATAATACATAAGTCAGCACTGCTCTCTCTTTCATATCCCTCCATCAAATTCTTCACCAAATAGCTATCTCATTCCCTTTTGAATTTCCTGACACAAATTGAGCTGTGTTATTACTGAGTGGTAGTTTGAAAGATTTTTGATGCTCTGATTTATTGAATCTGTTTTCTGGCCTCCTCTCTTATTCTTCTCCTGCTCTCTCTTGCTCTCGCTCTCTCTTGCTCTCGTTCTCGCTTGTTGTTGCTCTCGCTTTTTCTTGCTCTCACTCTCTTTTTTCCTCCAGTGCCTCCCTTGCACCCAGCCCTCAATTTCTCCTTTCTGACTGCTGTCCTTACTTCCCATCCTACCTCTGCAATCTCCTGTGACCCAACTGCTCTGGCCGCTCTGCCTGCTCTACCAAATCTCACATATTTATTGCCCCTTCCCCTCCATCCCACCATAGCACTTTATCCCAGACATCTCTAACTCTCTTCCAAAATCCCTCCGCCTCTCTATCTGCTTTCAAAACTTTCTCTTTCACTTTGACTTTCGGCACTTCTCCCTTCTTCCAACCCAGTCTCCCACTCCATCTTTAAGACATTCTCATTGCAGTTACATAGCACTTATGTGAAAATTGATATGTTACTGAAAACTGTTGTGCCCTTCCCGTGAGCCCCTCATTCTTTACTTCAGTGCTACGTGGAAATTCTCTAGCAGTTGTAACTCACTGCCTCGAGTCTTCCTCAGCTTTTGTCTGGATTAGTAATGATTGAAAGATTAATTGCAACACTAGGTGATGTTTTGAGCCACATCGATTAGGATAGCCCCAGTTCCGATCCCTTGTCTTTGCTGATTCAGCTGATCCCATACAGGGAGCACAACAGTTGATATCAGTGACCCTGACCTAGATTGGGCTATTGATTGCTATCGAGTGACACCTTTTGGAAGGTTCACATAAATGGAGATGGGAATGAGGACAGGATTGGGGCTTACCCTTGATGCTTTCTTTGGCTGACATTCCACCTTCACACATACACCTTCAGACTCAACTCACACATAAAGAATGGTTTCTTGGATAAGGCACCAAAGAGATACTGTTTCATTACCTCTGTGTTTTCCTATGATTGTTTTAAGCTGCAACTTTTCCTCAGTTGCATTAACGTAAGGTTTAAGGGTATGTACAGTTCTATATGCACAATGACATTACCTTGTGTTAGGGAGTCAGCCTTGCAGAATGGCTTCTGGGTGGCCCAGTTGAGCAGTTCCAGTGACAAGTATACGACTGTCTGTGTGAACGTGACATTTGTAATAATAATAATTCAGTATTGCTGCCTTTAAACAGGTTTGGAAAAAAGAAAGAAGAAAAAGGAGGGAAGGCAGAACAAAAGGCCAAACAAAAGGGAGATATACTGAGCGAGGAAGAACTGGAAAAAATGAAAGAAGAACGAGACAGGTAAGGTGTGGTGTTAGAAGAATTGAGTAACACGTGGGAACATTTCAGCAGTAATTTGGTCTTGGGGTTTTGATTAAGTTCATGAAAGTTATTCAAACCACTCAACTCAATTATTCTAATTGGCTAAAGTTTTCAGCTAGGCTGAGCCAAAACCGAAAAATATGTATTTTTGTCTCTTTGGAGTTTGACAAACAGGAAACCTTTGCCAAGTGTTAATTTCCTCTGGATAAGTTGGATAACATGACAACAGAGGAGCCAAGGAGCCAACATGTAGGTTGAAAGGAGTGGCAGAGAGCACAAATTAAGTCACATGACTACAACTGAACTCGGATGAAAACGTTCCTTCATCCCATTTCATCATTGACAATGTCCTCCCAACCACCCTCTTGTTTTTTAAACAAGTCCATCATCCTGTCCTTAACCACCCTTACCTGAGCCTGTTTGATTTGTTAATTACAATTATATCAAATGCAAAATGCAATTATTGTCTAGGTAAAGAAATACTTTCTGAAGTCTGTCCTGAAATTGCCCTTTGCAGTTCTCTTGTTATCATGTCTTAGTGCAACCGAAAATATTGTTCTGAGTTTACTTTCTCAACAGCAATTTACATTAATACAGCACCTTTTATGTCAGGAGGATGTGTCAAAGTGTCTCACACAGCTGTCCCATTTATAATGTTATATCAAGATGATGGTGAGAAAGCAGTGCATATGAAAGAGGATCAAAGGCATGTGTGCAATGTATTTGGCGGTGCAAAAAGCAAGTCAAAATACAGTTGTATCATCTTTTATTTATACAAATTGCAAATGAGATCAGCATCTGAGATCAGCATCTGAGCTGAGTTCCAAAGGTTTGGTCCATGGGATATTTGGGGTTTGCTATTTCCAAATCCTTTTGTGAATCTCGCAGGTTATTTTTGTGAATTTTGTGAGATTTTGTGAATCTCACATATTGCTCAAATGGTTTGAATTTGTTGCTTTCATCATAGCTTGCATTTCTACAGTGCCTTTTCATGGAAAGGGAACGTCTCAAACCACTTGGCAAATATAGTCACGGACACAGAACAGGGAAATGAAAAATATAGAGATGTTGACCAAAGGAAAGGTCAAAGAGATGTGTTTTTATGGGAGTTTGAAAGAAGAGAGAGAGATAGCAAGAGGCAATAGTTTTGAAAAGAATTCCAGAGGCAATGGGCTGAAGACTGGACCATAAACAGTTGCGATCAGGAGGACTTAATTATTTACCTGGACTACTTGAATTCAGAGTCATTCTGTCACTGTAGGAAAGAATCAACTAGCTGGTCCCATAACAGCTGTTAATATTTCTCCATCCACTCTTAACACCCCATAAACACTATTGAGACATGGAAAGATTCCCAATCAGAATACTTATGCATGGCTGAATTTACTTCAGAATTAAGGCAGATTTGTGTTAATCTTGGGATGTAATTTTTAAAGAATCTTCAAAGGAAATAAAAATTCTTTCACAGTTCACAGGAGGTAAGGGGGTCAGATACAGTATCAGGCTTCAGAACCAAGAGGTGCCGAATAAATGTGCTGTAAAGTTGCCTTCACAATCTGGAACAAGTTAGGATGGGATTACAGAATGAAATCTAACCCTTTCCACCACTAATGTTCCTCTTAGATGGGGGTTATTAGATTACAAATAACTGGATGCCCCAAACCTCCTGATTCTAGTTAATTTGTGGAAAATAAATGAATATTATCAATTCGCATGCTCATATTGCTTATCAATGGTTCACTGGGCTCATTCTTAAATTACTGAATGGTATTAACAGAAGTTTGAAAGGAGGTCCATCCACTCTGTCATTCATATTATTGGAAACATTTTGTATTTAGATTTGGACTTTGAGTTTTTGTAGTGTTTAGTTGTGAATGCGAGTGAATTGGTTGTAATTTGTTGTGTTGAAGACTTTATACAGTGGAAGTGGGACTGAATAGAAAACGACTTGATTTGTTGGATTCGATACGATAGGATTGAACTGGAAGTGTTTGGTCCATTGGAATCCTGTATAATTCCATCATGAAACACATAGGGGACAAATCCATCTGGGTCTAGATTCACTCTTATTTATGTAGCATTTAAGGAGATCCAGAATTCAGCAAATTCTTAAATATAGTCTTAAGCCAGTTTTCTGTAAGTTTTTTTTAAAAAGAACTAAAGGACAATTTGAGGGAGATTTATTTTTGTTTAAGTAAAAGCCACAGACCATTCCTCAAATGACCGGACAGGCTTCATCTGAATCCCAGCAATCCAATGAGGCTAAATTGAAATGCCTTCTACAGTCTCAGGCTGGTTGAAATCTAGCTCCTTGTTCCTGTTTTAATTTGGTTTTTGACTGCCACTGAACAAGGCTGTTCATGGGTATTTGTAATAGCAACCCTAATGCAAGGCTCCCAATGGAAATTCTTTGTATTGCAGGTAATGACAGATTGATATTTCAAAATTCTTTGTTTGAGAAAGGTCAGTAGAAGGTTTTAAAATCAAATGTGCAGTAAATTGTTCCGGATTAGATCAGAAGCTGTTAAAAGCATTTTTCAACTGACTGTCAAGACGTATTGTAATAGGATAACATTTGCAAGAGGAATCAATGTTGGGTTTATTTTGACCATTAACATGTTGTCTACACGTCGCTTTTAGGTTTGAACTGTGGATGATCAATTTTACATGGTCAAATCCCAACACTTTGAATTTTTGTACAAGTTTATGATCTAAAGAATTTAGCTTTACAACCATCTAAATTGATTCTAACGACAAATCTTCTTTCCTTGTCTCATTGAGAAACAAAGTATTTTTACAACTTAGCTTTGGAGCCGCCTTCCCTAGAGGTTTCTTCCTAACTTTTGTGAGTGTTAAAGGCTGCAAAAGAGTAACTTCAAAAGCAAACAAGCAAACATTCAAACACAAAGAACTTATTGCAACCCAGAAATTAGCTTGCTGGGTACACCCACCCCCCCTTTATGTGGTTGATCACAAAGGTTCCTGGTTCAATTTCTATTCTCTGCTGAATTGACTTATTTGTCCCTCTCTTCATGTTCCCAGCCCTGTTATAATTCTCAGCTAAGTGATCAGACAGGTGACTTGATCCCAAACCTCTGTCATTCCTGTTCTTGAGCCAACCTCCTGTTGGTGTGAGAAAGCAATGGGGGTGATGATCTTTCAGTTGACCCTTGTCCATTTCTGCGAAACCATCAGCTTTGTTCAACATCAACACACACACACAACCACAACCACTACCACCACCACCAAACAGCATAACACAAAATGGAATCTCAACACATGCAAGATGGTAGTTGTGATGGTCGTGGCAATGCTGCTTTGAATCACATTGACGATGAATCACATTGACGGTGAGCTCTTATCTATCATTGCAGTTCTGCAATGACTTAAGTGGTGCTTTTCCTGACTTTAACATCCACAGCACTCTCCTTCATTCCTCCGATGGAGGTTTACTTTCCTCGAAGCAGTTGCGCACTTTGTTTAGAAAATGAGAGATCCTTGAGATCACAAAACCCTTCTCACAAGCAAACTGTATGATGGAAAATTAGACTTTCTTCTTTGCGAATAGTCTTGTGACTGTTGGAGCGTTAAGGTAGGACATATGCTTTTGATAGTTCAGAATGTGGCTTTGGGGATCAAACTGTCTTATTTTTTTCCACAGAATTCGAATGAAAGTGAAATAAAATCCATTGAATCTATGTCCTAAGAGACTGAAGAGGCTATTGGACTTTATTACCTTTCACATTATTTATTGAAGCTTTTATTTAATTGGGAAAAGCAGAATACAAGCCAACTTCAGTAAGTGATTACATGGCATACGTTCAAGGCACTTGGAAACTGTCTGTAGTAGAGATTTTTTTTGCAAAATGAAAAATTCCTGTGAATGATATGAGTAATATTGGCATATTTTAAATTAAAGGCTGTGGGTGGTGAAATAGCACTCCCTTAGGAAGCCTGCTGTGTATGTAGACAGATTTATAAAGCACTATGCAGTTGAGAGACGGGTCTAAGCCACCCGCAACTCATGAAACCACTAAACTTACATCACCTTAACAGCTGACTGTTTTAGGAATGCAGCTACTGCTTTTATCTCCTTTGAACTCAATCAAAATTTAGAGGCCCACTACTCAATTCAAGTAATACAGTAATGTTTGCAAAGAACTCACAGCTCTGCTGAAATAGCAACCTGCTGTTTGACATCATCCTTTCAGGATAACAGCGCCTACCCAGCTTTCACCACCTTACTCGTTGGTGTTTCGGACTGCAGGTTTAAAGACATGTCTATACCACCATATCTTTTGATGAGCTGGACAGCTTGGTCAAGCCAGTCCTTTCAATTACTGCAGACTTGCTTGGCTGTGCAGCTGTGTGTCTTTGGTGCCAGTTTATCCCCTGCTGCCTGCCTGCCTGCCCTGTTCGAGGCCTCATTCATCATGGATAATTTTAAGCGGTGAGTCAGAGGAGGATAAGGTAAAGGCACTAGGATTCTTATCCTGAAAGGATGATATCAAATGACTTAAGCCCTCTTCTTCTGAAGATCACCTTAAAATCTAAAAATCATCCACATTGCAGTGCCGCTTTGGCTAAGATTTGCAAACTCAAGAGCGTTCCTCGCTGGGGTGGCGTAGAATCATGTCACAAGGTGTATTAGCTCATTGTGGATTATGGAAGCTTACTTTAATTAGAAATATATCTTGTGTCTAGTATTATTCTGTGAAGCGCTTTGACATAACTCAACGACTTGATAAGGCACTATATCAAATGCAAGGATTGTTATTTTTCTGCATAAGTTAGTAAATAGGAAGCTTCTTCAATCTGTTCTGTAAAAGGATTAGGGTAAAATATATGGGGGTTCAGCGATTATGCGTCATATTGCAGAATGCTCCCATCAAGTAGTTTAGATGAATTTTATATAGAAAATTGATACACTAGAGGTAATTTCAGAATGAAGTGCAATTGAGAAATGTGGATGCTCATTA